AGCGGACTCACAGGGGGTGTTGTTCATGGAGTTTCGGGGCTGTGCACTGCAAGGTCCCAGTATTTTTGCCTCTTTTGGGCCAGTGAGGCCTTTGACGGCTTTGGCGATGGCGATTCCATTTGGTCCGGGCCAGAACGTTAAGCTTTTTTCCGTCCTGCGATCAGTCAAAACGAGCAAGGTCCTTGTATCCTTTTTTTTCTGTTGAGGAAATTTGTGAGGGCTGTGTTAAGAAATGCCAATGCCATCTCGACTCGTGTATGGTTTGTCTCCATAGAAAAGGTTGTTGTCTAAGGTTGTCTCGCTCCGTCTCGACTAATGATGGTCCTGCGGGCTAGAGACTCATGACTATCAAACAGAACCTGGTTGGCCAAGTTTGCTACCATTCAAGGTATTCCATGTTTGTATGTTTTTAGAATAGGAAGTCGATAATTCCTCGAATCATACTGTCATCCTTGGAAAAGACAAAAATAACGTTTTATGGAAACTGATGAGTTGTCATGTTAATCTATCACAGCCCTTGTACCAGAGGTTGGCTCGTCTGATCGTATGTCTCGAAATGCCATCTTCAAACTCCATCCAAGCCATCTAATGTTTTACCGCTCATGAATCGATCCAACTATGAATTTGACACACCCACCCCCTGGAAACCTGCATGGCGCTACTGCAGTGTATTGCATTTTGACCCCGGACATTCAACCTCGATAGACTTTTTGCCATGAACAGGTGTTACAAGAGATTGCACGACACGAGATCAATATTCATGTGAGTAAAGTACATTTTGCGAATACTATGTCCATCTAAAAGCATGTTGTTCTATTCTCAATCAGTTTGCAATAGCATATGTTCTTAGATATCGATTGAACTGTTAACATGACTCCCTACCTACCTATCTAAACGCGAGGATCCCCCACGGCACATCAGCTGCAGCCAGTCACAGCTCTTAAACACCCGATGACACTTCTCAAAACCTACATCAAAGGCCAAGCCAAGGGGGCTGTGCAAGAGGAGAAACAACAATTTGAATCCCAATCTTTGAGCGAGCTCATTCCTCTTTCGTCCGAGCCTCCCGAACACGATCGAGGTCCTCAAGTGTGATCCTAAGGCCTAAGCCCATACAGCAAAGCCTAGAACGCCTCCTACGAGTATCAATATTCTGTACTGCCTCCAGCTTTGGTCTTGCGGCTATATCTTTTGGCGAGATTGCGGTAAACCTCCGCCCTCTTTACTAGACTGGGGTCGTCCCGAAACCGACGGCATAGACTACCTAGTCCAACCCCATATTCAAGGAATGGCCTCGGGATATGGAGCTCTCTATGCCGAGCGGGGCGCTTCGTTTCGTGGGTGAGGCCTTGGCCAACTCTTGGTGAGACTATCGTCAATATCGTCACTTTTGCCAACTCCTGCCTGCAATGTCTACATTCCGATACGGGAGAAAGAGGCAGCTTGTCGTATTGTCTAGTCACGAGATGCGATTCAATGATGTTCTTGACGACTGTTCTCTGAATCAACTAAACCCTTGCGCCTCAAGCCAACATTAGTCCAGAATATGCCAACATATCGTTGTCTTTAGACTAACAACTCCTCAATTCTGCCAAGCTTTACAATTGTCCCCTGCTTTATCCAGTGACATACAAAATCGAAACCCTTGCAGGGATATTCAGACGGGCAGTTATCTCAACACCAACTAGAGCCAAAAAGTCTTCCTATACCTTCCCGATCTGGAAGTCCGGATATTCACACGATAAAGGACTTTAGGCGAGGTCTGAGGTGACCTTCAAAAGGTCGATTGATCGGTAATACAAGTTGCAATATTCTGTAATAAAGATAACAAGACGATTTCGCGAGGATATCCATGGGATCTCGTTAGAGACGTCGGTTTACTACTCTGTAACTACGGTTCCTGATCTAAAGCTTGGTGGTCGAATCAGATATTTCTCGCAGATATGGCCAGAGTCCAATTGAGAGTCTCGAATCGATAGCCAAGTCCAACACCAATTCCAATACGAGAATCCAGTATTCTCCTGTGTCCTCTGCCCGACACCGAGGAATTCAATAACTCGTCGGCCTCCAAATCCCTAAAGCCCTCCGAAACCAGCAACGCCACAACGCACAAGCCACCCGCCTCATCCCTGTTCTCGATACCGCCCCGCCGGGAGGCAGCTCAGTTCAGCTCATCCATGCAAGGAACCCAGAGCCCGGACCAGACGTGGCTCAGATCAACAATAACGTCACTCGAGCAATGCCATTCATGAATCCTGCAATTTGCAAATAACCACGCTTGATTCGTGGCTTGGCTTATATCGAAATGAAGCCCGTGATCTTCATATGGCGCAGCAGCTGGGCTCGTGATAGTACTGTTTGACGACGTCAGAGGAGAGCTAAGCCCACGAGCATCGGACTTTTCATTGATTCATACCGCGGATACTATACAGATGCGACTAGTCTACAGATTTACAATACAGCCTCATAATTAGCTCAAGGCGATCAAGGGTCCAAGCTGCCATGTCGAGCTGGGCCCATAAGCTCCAGCTTCTCCACACGTTTATTTCAGCTCAGCTACCCTAGCTCTAGCCCAGTCTATCGAAGCTCAACGCCCAGCTCTTTGACCAAAGCTTTGCGCACATCCTCATGGAAAGCAACGGCCTCATCGTTGGTCAGAGTCCGCTCCAAGCTGCGGTAAACAATGCGATACGCCATGCTCTTGCGGCCGGTCTTGGGATGCGTGAACTCATCGATCAGGCGCACATCCTCGACCACGTCACCCGCCACGTTACGGACAATTTCCATAACGTCGTTTTCGTGGAATGTGCCCTTGGTGTTGCCACCTGCTGCTGTCGTGGAGCTAAGCCAGAAGGACACGTCCTTGGGGCAGGGAGGATACTTGGAGAAGGGGACGAAGCGCTTCAGGTTGTCGAGGTTGTCGGTCACGCCCTCGAACTGTGATAGGAAGCGCTTGTCTTTTGACCAGAAGAGGCGAATGTCAGGGATCTTGAAGAGAAGCATGGCAATGCGATCGATACCAATGCCAAAAGCCCAACCCAGTTGGTTAGGCACACCAGCGTTAATGTAGATATCCTGCTTGACCACACCACAGCCCAGGACCTCGAGCCAGTCACCGGCATAGTAAACCTCCAGCTCCCATGAGGGGCTGGTAAAGGGGAAGTAAGCTTCCACCCATCGCATTTGCAGAGGCTCATCCACGAAGTTGGGGTCATCTTTGATGGCGGTAGCCTTGGCCTTGGAGAAGATATCAACGACCATGTTTTCTAATGACCTCTTTAGATGAGCACCGATAGCTTCAGCCTCAGCAGCTGTGTGGTGGGCATCTTGGAGAGGGTTTGTCTCAGGATGCATAGGAGGGTTTGGGTCATCGACCTTGACTCCATGAACGGGCAGCTTCTCAAAGTCCTTCCATACCGCAGCAGCAACATCACCATTGGGGACTTTAGTACGATCCCATGACATTGCACCCTCCATTTGATGGAACACGGGATAGTGACTCCGGTCAATGGCATCTCGTCTGTATACATCGGCAGACACGAGGTACCCCGCGCTCTGGTTAGCTCGGAATGTGTCGGCCTGGTGAGCACTCGTATGTGTTCGCAGTAGTGTTTCGCTATTCAAATAGTATGTATCGGACAGGGCGCGACCGGGATGGTTCGCGGGAAATCCAAGCGAATCGAAGTTCTGGGCTGTCGACACCACAGGGCTGAACTCATTGTGATACTTGAACGTCGGCTCAGGGAAGTTGGCCTGGATAATCTGGCGGGTAATAGACACAGGGTGATCTTTCAAGAGGTGAAGTTTCCTTGTAGTGGCCTCGAGGACATTGTCGGGTACGTTGAACCATTGAGGATCGGTCTTGATGGTCTGGTCGCGGATAGTCACGGAGCCTGGAGTTCCCGTCGGGCGTGCTGCAACAAGGCCGAACAAGTCAGCGAGACGTCCATGCAAGTAATGGACTGGAAGAAGACCGACCCGACGAGTAAGTCCTCACGGCGCAAGCTGTTCGTAGGAGAATAGAGCTCCGGGGAAGCTGGGCAGGTCGTGGGGCAGAAGCCCTCAGGCACCGCATGCCCTGGACGTAGAGTCTCATTCTGAAGACTTGTGAAGCTCGACAATTACATTACAGGCCGAACGGGCCACGCAATAGACGCCACTGGCTGATTGCTTTATCGCAAATTGAATACTCGAACGCCGANNCTGCAAAAATGTTCGGCGTTCGGCCTTACAGCTCCTCCGGATATAACTAATCCAATGCAGTTCACTCACGATTAACTTCAACTTCAGTCCTTCTCCAACGGCCTCGCATAGAGATAGCATTGCAATCTAGCGCTATCCTTGCATCGCTTCGGCGACTTGACAGCCGATCCCGCTCCGATTGTCCGGTTACAGTAGCTAAACACCGGGCCAATTGATAACTTTCCGCGATGTCGGTAGCAACAGCTGAGGCTCATGCACTTAAAAAAAGCGAACCCTTGCTGTAGTAGTAATCATAACTAACCGACCTTTTTCTTTTTTCACCTTCCCACATCATCCACTTCCATTCTTATCTCAACTTGGCTCAACTTAACTTACAAGTCAAGTCAAAGTCAAGTTATGGAACCTTCAGTTGATCGACATTGAGCAGCTTAACTTTAGATAGTCTAAGCTAAACTCGTCCTTTTTTCCAGTATTTTGCTTTGGCTTGTGAAACTAAAAAAAACCAACCCACGTCATGGCTACCAGCCAGGAAGCAATGAGCAAATCGACGGAGATGGCGCCTGTAAAGACAGGAAAGGCGACGGCTGATGCGAAGAAGACGACGATAAGATATCCCTTTTGGTTTGGCGGAAGTGCCAGTAGCATGGCAGCTTGCGTTACACATCCTTTGGATCTTGGTGCGTTTTACGATCTCAAGATATGACGAAATTCAGCTAACATTGAACAGTCAAGGTAACTCTTCACAACTTCTCGTGACCGTATGACAAACTCTTACTCTCTTCTAGGTTCGTCTTCAAATGCGCACAGGCAATGCGCCCAAGAACATGGTCGGCACGTTCGTCCACATTCTTCGTCACGATGGTCCTCTCGGTCTTTACAGCGGTATATCCGCCTCTCTCCTGCGCCAGATGACATATTCAACCGTGCGATTTGGCGTCTACGAAGAGGTCAAGACACGTCTTACACGCCGTAACGAAGGTCGCGATCCATCTTTCATGACACTCGTTGCCCTAGCCGCTGGATCTGGTTTCGTAGGAGGCATTGCTGGAAACTTTGCCGATGTTCTCAACGTGCGCATGCAACACGATGCTGCGCTTCCTCCTGCTGAGCGCCGAAACTACCGTCATGCTTTTGACGGTATGGTCCGTATGGCGCGTGAGGAGGGGCCTAAAAGTATGTTCCGTGGATGGTTGCCCAACAGTGGTCGTGCCATGTTCATGACTGCTGGCCAGCTTGCCAGCTACGATGTCTCAAAGAGTCTGCTTCTTCAGTATACGCCCATGGAGGACAACCTCAAGACTCACTTTACTTCTTCGTTCATCGCTGGTTTGGTCGCTGCTACTGTAACAAGCCCTATCGACGTCATCAAGACTCGTGTTATGTCTTCAGCATATGATCACAACATCTTGCACCTGATTCGCGACATTCACCGAACTGACGGTCTTATGTGGATGTTCAAGGGCTGGGTTCCCAGCTTCCTCCGACTCGGACCGTACGTACCTCCTTTCTCTGTGTCGAATCCCACCTAACGCTTTCGCAGACAAACTATCTGTACATTTGTCTTCCTAGAGATGCACCGAAAGACCTACCGCAAGCTTAAGGGCTCGGATACTAACCTGTAGACTTGACATGACATGATAGACCAAGAAGATGGGCATGCTTTGGCGTTTTCGTTTTGTCGTTTCGTCACTTCAGAGCGGTGATCATCCTGTTGGCGTTACTGCTTTGTTACTCAAGATCCTTTGCACGAGCTTTTTGTGTAGGAACCTGGTTTGTAAAACATACTCAACATAGAGGAGGATAAGGATGGGTATAGAAATTAGCATTGTCGCTCAGAGCACTAAAATGTATACGTCGTGCCATGATTTGTCTCCTGAAAAAAAAGATCCCATTCTAAGTCCGTGCTATGCTTTTTTTTCGAGACTGTTACTAGTTTCCAGATCACCCCCTGTTTATACCTCCAAACCTTTCTTGATTACGAATTGCATAACCCATCAAACGCCCCTGGTCCTTACTGCCAAGAAGATCCTCCATACGGTGTTGTTCCGTAGGCTGTCATGCCACCTCCGTACGCCGTCTGGCCACCACCACCGCCGTAAGGCGTAGTGTACCCTCCGTCCTGCCAAGGTGTGGTACCGCCGTCCATGTTCATATCGGGACTTCGAGGACCATCAAACTCAGCTTCGTCACCGCCATACTTCCGAGGGTCTAGGCCCTTGAGAAGACCACCGATCTTTTGTTGCAAAACTCTAATACCGTTTTGCACGATTTGGTCAGGTTCCATGCTCCCTGACGTTTCAACCTCGAAGTAGAACCTGTTTGGAACTGCATCGTAGTCGAAAGGTTCGCCTTCTTGAGGAGGCTCTTCCCACTCAGCATATTTGCTCTTGGGCCTGGAGTACGACGTTAGCCATAACCTCAACACTTATTCATAGAACTCACCATTCAACAGCAGGGTCTGTGTCGTTTTCGAACCACCAGTCAATGTGGTGGAGCTTGTTATGAGGATCATACTCAAAGCCGACTGCAGATGTAGGCATCCACTTGGCGTGCTCCTTTGCGATTCCCTTCTTGGCAATGCAGCTTATTTTCAACTCTTGGCCCTTGCGCAGCTTCGCGATCAAGCAGCCGTAACCCTCTGGATCTGTGATCACGGGGCTTCCCACTCCATTCATATGACGACCATCCACCACCAGATCCCGCGCATACACCTTCATAATCTCGTCGGACGTGCACTTCGCGTGCAGTGTCAAAGTGACGCTGCATTGTTCGCAGTACTGCTCGCAGTCGCAGTCTCGTGAGTAGTTGAGCTCGTCGACTCCTTTTGAGTCGAGAGGAATCAGACCCAGGCGATGGGCGATGAACTCGTCGGCCAGCACGGAGCTGTTTGTCTCGATCTCGACCAGGTCAATGGCGATCGTGGGCACTTCTGCCTGGATGATTCGCCGCACGGCATTGGCGAAAGCAAGGTTCGTCTTTGATAGCTCGAAATCGACGTGGGTGTGGTCGGCCTGAGTCGCATCAAATCACATCAGTTGAGTGTCCCCCGAAAGAAAAAAGGGTTCGGGAGCCTCCTCGTACCGCAGAGATCTTCACTTGGGGCTGCTCTGGCTCCCCATCCATCACCATCGGGTCGTAATCCATTCCGTCCATATTTGCAAGCGTTGCGCGCCTGAAAGAATCAACTAGCAAAGTGCGCGCAGTATCGCGAGTAGCAAAAACCGTTATTGAAAGGTCGATGTGCGGGAAGGAAAAGGATTGGAGACTGCGGGGATCCAAAGGTGAAGGCGTAAATGGAATAAAGAGGGTGAGTTTTCGCAACAATGCGAACTGAGGCCCTGACTTTAGACGTGCATATGCGACTTGCTGGTGTACCTGGCTCGTGCCCGGAACATTAGTAATCCCGTTCTTATCGTCCCATTTGACAGGGGTGCTTCAGCGATAACAGAAAAAAATATCCATTGCTTCAGTCCCCGCCAAAATTACCAGCCTCGAGAACAGCTACTGTCAATAAATTCAACTCTACAGGGCCATTCGACATGAAGATCAAGGCCCTCAGCCGCCCCGTGTCGGCTCAACAAGCAGCCGGCTCAGATGTTACGAAGCAACCACGAAACCTCGATTCCGCCCTCCATCCTTTTGAGCGCGCACGCGAGTACCAGCGAGCCCTCAATGCCGTCAAGCTCGAGCGAATGCATGCGCAGCCTTTTGTAGGCCAGCTGGGACGAGGCCATGTGGACGGTGTCTATTCTATCGCCAAGGATCCCAACTCTCTTGAGCACTTTGCAAGTGGTAGTGGTGACGGTGTGGTCAAGGTTTGGGACCTAGCCGATAGAGACGAGATATGGCATGCGACAGCTCATGAGAATATCGTCAAGGGTCTAGAATGGACCCGCGATCAAAAGCTCTTGACTTGTGCAGCCGATAAAACGATCAAGCTGTTTGACCCTTATAACACACCTAGCGAAGCGGCTCCTATATCATCATGGCTTGGAAACGGTGCCTTTACCAGCTTGTCGCACCATCGCTCCAAGAACTCGTTTGCTGCTGCTTCCAGTGTGATCAACATTTACGATCTCGAACGTCACACCGCTGCGCCTGAAATTCTCAAGTGGCCTACATCTATCGACACCATCACCGACGTTGCCTTCAACTACGTCGAGACCTCGATCTTGGGATCATGCTCTAACGACCGCTCCATCGTCATTTACGACCTCCGCACATCTACACCTGTCACAAAGACCGTCCTCAAGTTCGCCAGCAACCGCCTGTCTTGGTCCCCTATGGAGGCTTTCAACCTGGCTGCTGCTTCTGAAGACCACAACATCTACCTCTTCGACATGCGCAAGTTTGACCGTGCTCTCAACGTTCTCAAGGATCACGTCGCCGCCGTTATGGATGTCGAGTGGTCTCCCACAGGTGAAGAGCTTGTATCCGCATCTTGGGACCGAACAGTTCGTCTCTGGAACCGGGACCGCGGTCACTCGCGAGATATCTACCACACCAAGCGCATGCAGCGTGTTACAGCAGCAAGCTGGACCCCTGATGCGCGATACATTCTCTCTGGATCTGACGATGGTAACGTTCGACTCTGGCGCGCTAACGCCTCTCGTCGCGAAGGCGTCAAGTCTGCTCGTCAACGACAAGCCCTGGAGTACAATGAAGCTCTTATCGAGCGTTACCAGCACATGCCTGAAGTTCGCCGCATTCACCGTCACCGTCATGTGCCTAAGGTCCTCAAGAAGGCCGGTGAGATTAAGGCTGAGGAACTTAAGAGCATTAAGCGCCGTGAGGAGAATGAGCGTCGCCATACTAAGAAGCAATTCGAGAGACGCAGGGGAGAGAGAGAAAAGATGATTCTGGCGAGAGAGAAGTAAGGGGAGTGCAAAAAGTTTTGCACTACGGCTGCAGCAATGAGAAAAGTTCAGTGGGATTACAAAGGCACGGAAGGGCATTGCAAGGCGTTCGGGTCGTCTATTCATGGGTAATCTAGATGACTTTATTGAAGAATATACCATTCGTATTCATAGACAAACCTCAGTGCAAGATGCCAGACGTTTGACTTCGATTTGATTAAGCCAGACATCAAGTAGGCAACAGACTAGAGGAATATACATGTGTAAACGTGTGTTTCTTGTAACTATCAGATCTAGACAGTAAAAGATCCCTTTCGAACAAGCACTCAAAGCTTTAAAGTTTCCCATGAGCGGCATATCCGTTGGCGTGAGCGTCGTGCTGCGTATCTATCCATCCCATTCCAAATCCCATCTAAGAATCTCTCTTCATTTCTTCTTTGCCTGCGGCAAGGAGACAATAGGGATAAAACACAACACGTAACACCGTAGGCCGAGACCGATACCTTTCAAACATAAGCTGGTACATGACTCGACCAGAACCGCCCAAATCCATACAGTCTCGATCATCTGAGTATGAGGAGAAACCTTACTCCCAAAACGCCTAAATGAAATAACCGATGCGAATAATTGCGTCGCAACATCGGAGGTATCTCTCTTTATCAATTGAACGGAAAACGCCAGCCCTTCCTTTGTTATTTTGTGTATGATGCCATTCCGTTCCATTGATAGTGTGGAAAGTCCCTCTTTTTGCGCGTCATTCGTATAATATCATGCCCCGCTATAACGCCAAATGAAAAAAAATGTACATGGAGGAACTGTCAAATCGTAGTATAATGTACAAGCCGGATGGTTCCGGCAAACAGCCGGAAACGATTAATGCTGCGGCTTGATGATGCTGTTGCGGGCCGTCTTTGTAGGCTTGTAGTTGGGGAGCTCGTCAAACCAGCCCTGGTCTTCGTTGTATCGGTAAGCATGGAAGTCAAGCCCGTAAGGCTTGGGCTCAATAGAGTAGAGCATGCCAAGGGGAATGTCCATGTCTGTGATGTCCGCCAGGGACAGGTCCATGAAATAGGCCATCAGGACTCTACACACAGAGCGATGTCCAATGATAAGAAGGTGGTCTTCAATACGCTCAACCTCTCGAACCATGTCGCGCAGACGGCTCACAACCTGCAGATAACCTTCACCGCCGACTCCAGGATAAATGTAGTTGAGCTTGTCCTGTGCTCGCTTGGCGAATTCCTCGGGCTCCTTCTTTGCGATTTCGGCATATGTCATACCTTCGAACTGGCCCGAGTTCATTTCGTTGAGCATTTCCCAGTTCTTCACATCGTAATCATCGTCGGCCTCGAAATACTCAGCTGTGTCCACGCTGCGATCGAGCATCGAAGTCCAGACACAAAAGTTCTTGTCCTCGATCTCCCGGTACATCTCAGGGTAGGGAGGTGTGTTATCACCAGGTACGGGAGGGAAAGTGGCCTGAGCTTTCTTGCTCTTCTGTTCAATAAGCCAGTGCTTGCGCTGGTAAGTGATGAAGTTGTGAAGAGCTTGGCCGTAGCAATGGCCGCGCTCGGTAAGTGGTGAGTTTCCACCCAATCTTCCAAGCTCGTTATCGACACTTTGGCCATGTCGGGTAATCCAGATCTGTCGAGGGGCAAGATTGAAGCTAGCGAGGTAAGTGCTAATACCACTGCTGAGGAAACCCTTGAGACGGTGTTGGATCAGTTTTCGACCAACATCAACCATCTATAATTTAGTCAGCTACTGACGGTCAAAATCATGGCAATCCACAAACCTGAATGTATTGCAAGTCGTGCTTTTCCTCATATTCGCCAAGAGGAACATACGCACTCTCGTATGCAGCGACTCGCTTCTTGAAATCTTCCAGTGATTTCTGAGGATCCTTGTCACGATAGTCAGGACCAGACAGTTTCAGACGCATGTTCGCCTCGAGGAGAGTAGGGTCTTGACAGATACTCTCAATGAAAAGAATACCCAGCTTAGGTTCCCTCTGCTTGATGCGGTTGGTGATGTTCTTTCTTCGCTCGATAGTGCTGTTCGTAGCATCAAGAATGCCGACAGCGCCACCTCCATCGAGAAGGTAGTCCAGCAGCTCATCCAAAGTATCCATAGCACACTGCTCACGCATGGCCGCGGCAGTTTGGTTCTTGGGATCAAAGAATGTAGCGGATTGATCCACCTCGGATTGGGCGGCATCGTTCAAATCAAGCTTCTCTGGCTCAGCCTGCTCAGGACCAAACGGTGCCGGGTTACCATTTAGCAAAATGGAAGCCGCATGCACAGGAGGATCCATGTGTTCCGGCTCAGGCTGCAACTTTGGGTGGACAGAAACTCTGCGCCCGGCAGCTACACGTCTTCGGTTTCCGACATTGAAGATGCGAGAATCATGCTGCTGCCAAGAAAGATACCTTTGAAGCTTCTTGGTGATGTAAGACTTTCCTCGGGCCGGCAAGCCAACCATGACAATAACAAGCTTTGCGGCAACATCACGAGAAGGAATTCTTCCATCAGGCGAGACTCTTGACCGGGTCATGCCCGGGATGTTGAGCGTTGTCGCATGTGGCCGGACTCGTGGTGTTTGATGTCCAGAATTCTGTCGTAGCGGGGGACTATTTCCATACGTCAATTGAGGGGCTCTGAAAGCGGGATCGCCAGTACTAAAAGGGCCGAAGGTGGTGGATATGTGGTTCGCGACCCCCAACTGTGGGAAAAATCAGAGAAAAATGACGGCACTTACATGCGTGGCGAGCTCGGCGCTGTTGAAGTGACGCTTCGCGCATATGTGGGGGTTTCGGTCAAATCGTTTAGCGATCGCAGCGCCACAGCCAACGAGGAAGGTGCATTTGCTGGAGGAGGAAGATGGTCATGGTCACCATCTGCTGGTGGAGGAAGAACCGCGTAGTTATTTGGATTGTTTGGATTCGAGGAAGGATCTGAAGTTGGGTTTGACGTCGGATTCGAGTTAGGATTTGATGTAGGTGGTAGAGAATCTGAGGATGTCTGTTGCGCCGCAGACGAATGTTGCGCTGGGAGCGCTGGCGAAGGAGGTGATGCACCGAGAAGGTTATGCATTACAGATTTTAACAGTCCGGACTGTTTTGATTGTCGGCGACCTGCGTCTAAATTTTAGATACGTTGATGGTTGTTTGTTTGGTGTCTTGGAGTGCTAGGTGCGATCGCGTAGGTATAAGGGGCTCAAGTTATGATAAACAGAATTGGAACAATTTGATTTGATCAAAAACAACAACAAGGTAGCAATGGATGTCGAAGATCTTTTGGAGATTCAGAATTTGAGTGAGGAGAAGAAAGGCAACAAGAAAGATAGGATGTGTAGCAGCAGTTGAATGGCTAATAAAGCATGAGAGATTGGTAGGGCAAATACGTAGTCATTGTTGGAAGAAGCTGTTAAGAAACAAGGCAAGGACAAGGAAACTACGGCCATGTACGTACCTGCAGGGGCCACCGGAATCGCTGAAGGCATCTGAATAACGAGGGAGACTGAACTCCAAATCGAGCAATTGACGACAGGCTCTGACTCTTCAAGCAACACGTCGACCAATAAACAATGGAAATCGCCCCAGCGAGGCCTGGCGTAGTGGTCCACAGGGGCTCCTCAGTGGACTTTGGTGTGTGTTTCCTTTGAGGGAGGGGTCCCTCTTCCTCCGCTGTTGATGTACCTTTTAGTGGCGTCAATCTGTCGGGGTGCTCGGGGCGTCCACTAGCTTCGCTGTCTTGACCTTTGACCGGAGGTGAGTCTGAGTCGAGTCGAGTCGAGTCTTGGGGAGGTGAGGTGAACTGAGAGGATGGATGGTAGGTAGAGTTGGAGGGGCCTCCACCAGGTCGCAAGCAGCCCAGTCCCAGTGCAGTTGGAGGCTGACTTGGAGGTCTTGGGGGTGTCGTCGTTGGTGGGCTCGGTGGTGCCGTGCCGCGACTAGCAGTGGGGAAGAATGCAGGACCCTAAAAAGTTGCGGTAGTGGCGCTGGCTGTTGCTTGCTGGCTTCTTCACAGGCTTAGCCTAAGCTGATGTCGTCCAGGTTCAGGTAAGGTTGGCTTGGAGTGAGAGTGGAGGGTCGAGGGTCTAATCCCGCGGGAACTTGTTGAATCGATGGATGCTGGCTGGGTGGATGGTTTGTTTTTGTAAGAGCCCAGGCCCTGATGGGATAAAATGAAGTTGAGGTCTGGCTTGATAGAGATCTTTCCTTTTTTGGAGTTGTTGAGTTTGAGCCCTTGCCCTACTGTTTTTTTCCAGTCTCTTGGTGTTTGGTGTCAATGAGTCGATAAACTCCGTGTGTTGTAACGTTCTGTGTTGTTATTGTGCTGTGCTGTGCTGTGCTGTATGCCTCGTCTTCCTATAATCTGAGCTGAGGCTTGTTGCTTCGTGTGCTTGGCGCAGTCGGTTTTTTTCCTGTCTTTTTGCTGGTTGTGTCTGTCTGTTATACGTCACCCAGAATAGGCTGTGCCCATTAGAGGGTCTGCAGATCGAAACGCAGCAGGTTGCAATTATTATACTGGTAGCCTCGAAATGTGTTGCTTGGGTATTTCGGTTGCCCTGACTAGGGTTGCTGGTACGCTTGAAAGAATATCAGGAGAGCAGCCAGGCAATGTGAGGTGATGTGAGCCCAGGTGGTTGAGGGCCCGTGTCGGTGGTTTTATTAACGGACGGGCGAGAAGCTGGAGCCCCGAGTAAATGGCCGCAGAGTCGAGTCAAAAGTCAAACCCCCCAGATGCCCAGACAGGCACTTCAGGCTTGGAGCTAACGAAGTGTGCGGGAAAATCCATTACTACTGTACCGCAATGGAAATTTCAGGGCCAATAATAAGGTCAATTGTTAGAAACTGTATGTACCTATGGTGAAAGCTTGAAAGGTCAGTCAAGTCAAGGTGTGTCTGCTGGCCTAGGGATAGTGGCTCGTGAGACTCGTCGCCCTTGGGTGGCGCTGCATTGCATTGGATCGATCCCTCGGTCTTGTTTGTACCGACTTACATCTTACATCATTGCACTTTTTCAACCAACCAGCCAACCTCAGCTGTGCATCCTACACACCAACTGGCTTTCAGGTACAGCATGCCCTGCGACTTTGCATCAAGATCCCAAGTCACTTCCACCCCCTTTTGGGTTTGTATACGGAAGCACGTTCCAGGCAGGCAACAGGTATAGGCTCATTCTCAACAATATGGTCTGGTTGAGGCACTGTATGTGCATCTTAAATGAAATAACATGTCCCAGGACCCGAGATCCCTGAGCATATGTACCGCCCAGCTGGGCCGCCTTTTCCTTTAGTTCAACACCTGCCAGCTCCTTCAATTAATCGTGTACCGAGAATCCCGCCATATAACAATCTAGTATGGCATGTCGTGGTCTTGCGTGTCCAGGACAAGGATGTTCAGATCTATGACATCTGGCGGTATCACAAATCCGAGATATGCTGCATATATTTTCAATGCACCTCTCGGGTTCGTCCCCTTGGAGTACATCTAGCGGCTGAGTTTCAAGGACTTCGGATTCACGACTCCGTGGCCATTTTTGGCTCCTTTTGTTAACTCTACCTATACAAGATTCCAGTGAGGATGCTTTTTACAAGCCCCCAAATTCCGCCAAGCTTTTTGGCTTTAAATGGTTCACCAGAGCCTTTGAGACACGGAACGGTGGCGGTTGACCCTTGCTGGGACACTCGCACCAATGAATCTCTAACTCACCGAGCTTGGTCACTGGTTCGCTTGTGTCTTGTTGTGCTGGCACTTGTCTCTCTTGAAGCTGTTGAGGGCTGGAAGGGATAAAGCTTTGGATTAGTCGTCATAGGTCTCATCTGTGTTACAAAGCTGGGCTCTGAAGATGACATGCGCGTCAGTTGACAGCCCAGTCCATCCTGGTAGAATACTGTATGCTCTGAATTTTGAGCATGTATCACAATTCTCAAGTAAATATTAATGTTTGTTTTTAACTGTTTATCATAACTGTAAATGACACCCGTTAAAGTGTTTATTTTGCAGCCAAAACTTTGCTTGAGTTATACGACAAGTTTATTTCATATAACCTGTCGTTTCTCATGATAGACTTCTCTTGCAGAAAATTAGAGCTCCAAGTCCTCCGTAGCTTGGGTCTCTTTCATCCTTGGATGCTTTCCACCCTTGCAAGCCACACAAACACGTTAACTCTGTCTAGCAGTCAACTTGTTCTAGTCTGAGTATCAAGATCATCACTGTCAGAGCGGAAACGAATCTTGAAGGCCTGTTACAATGAAATTGTGATTTTCAAGCTTAATTTTCATGTCTCTCATGTCGAAAAATGTGCACTTAATCCGGCGGTACTTTAAACCCCCGAACCTCTGTTCGCAGCTACTATGCATGGCACCCCTACCAAGCATACGCCGTCTTAGACCACATCAAGTCAAGCTCCAATAGTCCTTTCTCACTCAAAGAAACAGACGCCGCGCTACTGCAGTCCAAGACCTTCTTCTCCAGCGCTGGAAGCTCCTACAAGGTATAAGATCCTTGCTTCCTTTCACCTCAACCCAAAAGGAGTCACCCCTAGTGCAGCTTTCTCCGATCTCGCCGCGGGGGAACCTTCACAAGCCAAGCGAAGCGAAGCAAGCGATGGGCAAAAACTAAACTCGCTTCTGCACATGCATCGCATTGCATGAGGGGGACAGTCAACTTACCCCCACCGTTATCTTTGGTCTTCTTTTGGTTTCTGCAGTTGGTAGAGATACAGAATTACCCTCACAATATGCGTAAGAATTGGTCGATGCTGTAAAAGAGGCGCCTCATTTTCTCATGCAACATGTGAGATTCGATTCGCGGCTGACCTATCACCGTCACCGTCACTCTCACCCTGACCTTGCTTTACAGCTCAGCGCTTGGCTCCTTGCTCGTGTTCTTTCGTCTGATCGCCCGGTGAGATAGAGGTGAGACCAATAATGCGACAGTCATCTCGCATGAATGCCGTCCAATCTATCATTCCATCCCCTTTCAACTCCTATTCCGCTACGAATCATGTTTACCCGTGGGCGCTTAGGCGTCATGAATTCGTCCGTGGAGTCCCAGTCACTTTTTGTCTCCCCGGCGCACTGGCCCTGAATATCATTCGAGCAAAGCCTTGGATATCATAAACTATGAATTAGAAGCCTTGACGTTGTGCCGCTGTCCCTGTCTTTTCATGGCTTGATACGAGTCTCAGTATGACTCTTAACAATCATGCGAATATTACACGACCGTGGCTCTGTTGACTGCCTTTCTTATTTTGTCCGTGTTGCATTCATGTCTACCTATCGAACCATGCATCATGACACCTCAGACTCCTTGTCCTCGACTTTATTGATTGCCATTATTAGGGAGCACAGGCCAGTACTGTAACTCGGGATGGTCCCGATAGGCCGTTTCTCTTACTGCTCAGCTTTTCTCGCCTTTTGTCTCATCGAACATATACCGAGTGTGGCTGGCTTGCTTCTCAGTGGTCTATCGTCAGTAAATAATGCATGGATACCATTGTACAATGCCTCGTGACAACATGTAAGCTCTTTATGCTCAATCCCTACGATCCTATTATTCTCCGACTCCTGAAACCATGTCTTGGTTCAGCGACTACGAGTACGGTGCAAGACTGTAGTGTTCATTTATTGGTTACCGTCGATCAAGCGCGGTCAATGCATGCTGCAACTCCCTTAGGGACCAGTATTGATTCTATCCTACTCCGTAGTAGGTGAGCTCGTGTAAGTGCCAAGGTGAATTGGGCTGCCGCCGGATGTTCTGTCCTGGTCCCGAAGACCGCTCCCAAGACTCCAAAGTATGGCTCGTAAAATGTTCTCATCCTGGGCCCCCGAAAGAGTATGCTGGGGCGCACAGCATGTAACGTTTAGGGAACGTTCAGCCAGGCTGTGAACTGTACGCACGTTTGGCATTGTTAGCAGCCCAAGCAACATGATAACTCACTTTGATTGACGGAGCACCAAACACTGCCTCTTTACAGTATATGCAGGCAACCGTCTGTCATGTTCACTTGTCTATCTGGGCCCATTTAGTACTTCACATGCCATAACTGTAACTGTAGCCTTGATGGTTGACAGCCCGGTTCGC